GCCTCGGGGGCCCTGCGCCGACGGTGGCCCCGGCTGCAGCCGGCGGGCGGGCGCTTAATGTGCGGCGAGGAGAACCCCGCAATATCCGTGCACCTGCATTTGCAGTGGGGCTGACTTTCAAAGCTCAGGTGACCACACCGGGAGCGCGTGCGCTGTCGGGGATACCTTGCGATCGTCGGGAGGCGCCCCCTGACAGTTCGGGTCCCACGCCAGGGGTGCTGACGCCGACATCGCCGCACGGTGTAGTGCGGTTGTATGCTTTCCCTTACCTCAAATGGTCCTTGATTGCACGGCAGTCCGTTGACGTCGTTTGAGTGGATTCTAGACAGTGACCTCTTGCTGGTGGGGGCAGCTAGTGCAAAGGACAGTGTGGCCCCTGATTGTATTGGAGATCGGAGGTTGTAAACTGAACGAGAGGAAGTCACCCCGTTGCAAAAATTTGGTTGTGCTTGTCGCCTCTGATTTAGGAAGTGGCAGCATGTGAAGGATGCGGCGGTGAGAAGGGGTATTCCCGGTTGTGAAAGTATTTCCGGTGCTAACAACGCAGCTCCTGAACCCTTTTTGTTAATATTAAAAACAATGTTAACAATTTACAAAACCAAGAAGTACCAGAATCTTAATTTCTGGCCTTTTCTTGTGGCATCAAAGCACTGCTTGTTTAGGGAAAGTTACTGTTGGGAAAAAAAGCCTTAACTTTATAGTGTACTATACTGTAATTAGTGCTGCGGGACCTTTTCTTATTTGAGAGTCATTTTAGAAATTATTAGAGATCAATTTTCATGTTTGAAAATTTGGGAGAAAAGGAAAGCATAAATAATTACATGATCCGTTTCATCCCATATAAATAACATAGTTTTCAAACAGAAATGAATAATAGATGAAACTGAAGAAAATCCCACTGTCTTTAAAATGTTAAAACACTCAAGTAGACTTGAAGAACTTGAGATTGTTAAGCTGTCGACAAGCATGTGTCTTTGCTATTAAAAGTTAAGTCACTATTGATTTATTTGATAACAACATAAAGCCTTCAGTTATTTTTTTGGCTGATTCTCCAGGGTGAGTTGAGGGCAATACTGAGCTGTACGAGTTATTTGTAAACACAGCGACAAAGAGCTGTTAGAGTAAGAACTCTCAGAGATCATCTAGTACTCAGTTGTCGCTTGGTCCCTGCTTACTGGTTTGCTAAAGCGCAGAGGCCAAAGCCTCGCTGAAATGGCAGCATTTCTCTCATTTGTTCTTAGCCAGAGAACCCCAGTAGGGGCGTTTCTGTTACGTAAGTGCTCAGGCAGCCTCTGTCCTTCAGCTTACCTCCCGGTGCTGTGACTCACAGCACTCAGTACTCCTGAGCCAGGGAGTGCCCATTCTTCTTCACAGTTTAGCTGAACTATTACATTTCTTGGGTTTACTTTGCCCCCTGTTCAGCTAGGTAAGCTCAAGTCCTCTAGTGTGGCTTATTTTTGAAGTTCAGACCACTCTCTGGGTTTCGATTGGAAGCAACATTCTGTACATTCAGTTACTTGTTTAGTCCATCCACAAATTTTGCTGAGCCGCGCCTGCCCAGTCAAGGCAGTGCTCATGATCCTTGTTCTCACGGAGATTTGTCTAGATGGACCGTCCCTGAGTTGTGGGCCGGGTTTGGGCCTGTCAGGAGAGCCAAGGACCAAAGCACCCAAGCTGGGCGGGCTGAGCCTCCTTGTGGGGGCCCCGGGGGGGGGTGCGGCTGGAGCTGGGAGTGTGGACATGCAGGCGGCAGCCTCCTGCTTCCTCCCTTGCAAGGATTCGGGCTCACCGAGTGGAAAAACAGCCCTTTGTGGCACTTGAGAATTCCATGAGGGGTGTGGAGGAATCCTCTGGGGGGCGGGGGTGGGAACAGGAGCCCAGTGAGGCCGGCACCAGGGCTGGGCCGCCTCCCCCAGGCATGGGGGGTGCAGGGCTGGGTGCTGCCGCGACCTGGTGCACCGCTGGCTTAGCTGGTTGAAAGTGGAGTGTGAGGAAAGGCGGCAAACAGCTTGCCTGAGAAAGAACTGGCTCTTACCTGAGCCCGGGAAGCTGCAGGACACGTGAGCTTGGGGCTGAGCATCAGGCGTTCCCTTTTGAGCATGCTGCCTTTCTTGCTAGTGGGACAGTAAGGTGCTCTTCAAAGAATGGTTGTCTTCTCTAGGAATGAAAGCGGCAAGTTTTCTATAGTCTGTATTTGTATTTTTTTAAAAACTTTTTTTTAGGATTCATTTATTTATGCATACAAGAACTGGGGTACAGTCCAGAGGTTCAGGGGTGGTGAGAGGCTTCACCTTCACCAGAGACAGAGTGGGGAGCAGAACAGGTGGATTGGGGCCCACCCTGGTGGTGCAGTGGGTTAAAGAGCAGCACTATGAAGCTGTCCGCAGCCACTACAACCTGAGTTCTGTGCCAGCCAGGGAGTGACCCACAGGGCCAGAAGACCTCTCCTGTCTCCCTGCTGCTCCCCTCAGCCGTGTATTTCAGTAGATCTGCCTGCTTTGCACCCTACTCTGTCGCTGGTGAGTCCTCTCACTCTCCTGCACTGCTCAGTTCTTGGATGCATAAATAAATAAATCTTTAAAAAAAAAAAAACGCAGCAGATTGACTGAAACACACTGCTGAGGGGAGCAGTGGGTGGCACAGGAGAGGACCGCTGTGCCCTGTGGGTCACTCCCTGACCGGGGATGGGACTTGTGCTGCAGTGGTGCGAGTTTCCCAGTGCGCCAGGGAGGCCCGGTCTATTCTTGGACGACTGTGCACACCACAGTTGCTGTCTTCAAGCCCTTACTTCTTTTGCTGAAATCTTTTCTATCCAAGGAAGCTCTGAATTCCTTGATGGTCAAGAGTGCGTTTTCTACCACCTTTGTGGGCAACTCCCAGCGCTGGGCCTCACTAAATCATCACATTGTTAATTGGACTGAACACCCCTTGGGACAGATGATTTGAGGTCCTGAAATCGGGGAAATTAGCACCATCAGGGATGTTAAGATAAGCTGGCTCAATTAGCTGACATTTTATGAAGGGAGACCATCGTGTAGAGTGGCCGGGAGTAAGAACGAAAAAGTGCATTTACGTCTTGTGTTTCAGGTGACGTGACAACTCAGGTAGCGCTTCAGCCCGCGCTGAAGTTCAATGGTGGAGGCCACATCAATCACACCATTTTCTGGACGAACCTGAGCCCGAGTGGTGGAGGAGAGCCCAAAGGTCAGTGCATATTTACATGTGGGTGCGGTAGGGCTACTGACTTGACTTTGTTACCTTGAGCTGTCACACTGGCCTGTTTTCACTGCAAGGAGAGCAACCAAGTCGTGACTTTCAAAGGGGCTTACGTAAGAATGAACACACCAGGAAGTTACAGCACCGGATCTTACAGTGTCGGCCGTAAATGCTCGGTCACAGCTTCTTCGCAGCGTAACTGTTTTGCCATAAAAGATAAACCTACGGCCTGATGGTTTGGTCTGACAGACCTAGATAGTGACGTCATTGATGGCTTCGTTGGCCTGACAGGATGATTTGCCCCAAGGGTTGGTTTATTCTCTTGGAAGCAAGACCAAGGGCTTTGAGGGTGCGAAATTGGACCCACATAGTCTTCATAGAACTCTGGATGTCACTGGACAAGTGACAGGGACAGCGGTAGTGTGGACGGCTGTCACACGCCATTCAAAGTTCAGGGTTTTTTTTAAAAAAGATTGATTTATTTATGTATCCAAGGGCTGGGGTGCAGGCCAGAGGTGCAGGGAGTGAGGGATTCCCCAGAGACAGAGCGGGGAGCAGAACAGGCGGATCAACCCCTGCAACACTCTGCTGAGGGGGGCAGTGGGGAGACAGGGGCCTGCTGTACCCGGGGGTCACTCGCTGGCCGGGATCGAACTGTGCGGCAGCGGCCGGGACAGCTTCACCGTGCTGCGCTTAACTGCCCTTTACGCCACCAGGGAGGTCTGATCGTCGTGACTTTTGGTGACTGACAGTTGCTAGCTGCCTGCTTGGTGAGCATTTAGTTCTCATGGGTGGGAGGTTGGCTGCACCCCGAGGGATTTGCAAACCGGTAAGTTAGCCTTAAGGCTATATAATACCACAGTGGGAGGGGCGCTGTGTTAGTTGAAATCCAACCTGAAACCACCCTCACCAGGTATTTTAGTTTCCATAGCAAAGTTACCTCGTGGCCAGTTAGTTAGGGATCAGAATGGGTTTGGTGAAAATGCTTATGCAGAGAACTTACAGGAAACTACTGGAACCAGTTGTACACATGCACACACACAGGATTGCCGTCGGTTGAAGTGCACTCTGCGTTAGGAAAGTCTGAGGGCCACTTGTGAGGAGGGAGCTTTCACTGACTGGCTGTGGTAAGACGCGCAGCCGTTCTTCTTTCTTCCTCTCTAGAGAGTAAGAACAGGCGTGTTGTGAAAAGCAAGTAGGTCTCAGGAGCAGCGCCTTGGACAGTGCCCCGGCCCAGGCATGGGTGAGCCGCCGTGCTGGCCTGGCTACTTCCCTGCGCGCTCCTGTCTCCGACCTCGAGGTGCTTCCAGGCGGAGCGCTCCCCGAGGCCAGAAAGATCAGTTCTCTGACTTGGCAGGCCCAGTGAGGGCGGTGGCGACTACGCCTGCCGCCTTGTTCGGGCTTCTGCCTGTGCCTTAAGCTTTCGTGTTTTTATGTCTTGGCTGGGAACGAGCCATTTCACTTGGAGGGAAGGGCAATAGAGAGTGCGTCTGGAAGCCAGACAGTTGAGCTTTCCTGACTTAGACTGTCAGGCCACAGCCCGGCGGTTCTGAGGTTCTGTGAGTCACAGGACACCCGCCCCTGCGCGCTCGTGGGCTCCGGCGTGCTGCGCGCTTTGTCCTCGGTGCCACTTGGCTCTGCCACGGAGGGGACCTGGTGCCGTGGCGTCCGAGAACTGATCTGTTTGCCATGGATAGCTCAGCCTAGAATTGTCTCCACATTGCCGCAGTCTGGAGAGCTGTGCCCTTATTTCACAAGTGGAAGAGCAGTTCATTCTTCTTTTTTTAAAGATTTACCCATCTATGCATGCAGAACTGGGGTACAGGCCAGAGGTGCGGGGGTGGTGAGAGTGGGGAGCAGAACAGGCAGATCGACAAAGTCCACTGCCGAGGGGAGCAGTGGGCGGGTCAGGAGAGGTCTGCTGCGCGGGGTCACCTCCCGGGCAGGCGGGGATCGAACTCGTGTTGAAGTGGCTGTAGCTTCTCAGTGTTGTGCTCTAACCCGCTGCGCCCCCGGGTCGGGCCCACAGTTTACTTTTCAAAATGATGTGAGACGTGGCTGCCTTGAGGAGGCCAAATAGTGCTCTTAACATTTTATCCTCAGACTGAGAGCAGTGAGGTGGAAGTCAGCAAAAAGGCAGGGGGAAAATGAAAGCTGATGGAAAATTTAATTTTTTTCCTGATGGAACTAGCACACTGAAGCAAGAAACCCGCCAGCACACTTGGTCGCAGACATGAATGAAGCGGACCCCATACCCGGTGGCTGGGTCCGCGCCACCGGGCCGTGGCCTGTGACTCCTGCGTCTTGTCTGGTTGTGCCTGGGAGCTCGTGACAAGAACGTCTAATGTGTAATGAAATATTTAACTCATTGCAGCTTGGTTATGTGTGATTTCTCCCCCCTCTTTTTAACAGGGGAATTGCTAGAAGCCATCAAGCGGGACTTCGGTTCCTTTGGCAAGTTTAAGGAGAAGTTGACAGCTGTATCGGTTGGCGTGCAAGGCTCAGGCTGGGGCTGGCTTGGTTTCAATAAGGAGCAGGGCCGCTTGCAGATCGCTGCTTGCTCGAACCAGGACCCCCTGCAAGGGACCACAGGTGGGATTTGAGAATCGTCACGTTCACTGGGGAGAGCGTTGAGCCGGCAGTAAGGCGAACCAGCAGTGACCGGTCTGCGTGACGGGGGAGGGCCATGCGCTCCCCACGGAGAGGGGTCAGCAGCAGGGCATGACTGTCATGGCTGTGGGCAGTTTCACAGCTACATTGACAAAAAATTTGGAACATGAGCTTGGCTTCATTTGGCAGACTTCACGTTGGTTCTCATAATGACTTTGCCTTAAAATAAACCAAAATTGAACAAGAGCGAGAAGCCGAGTCTGACTCCACAGCCGGCCCAGCCCTCGCGGTCGTCGTGGGCCTCAGGTTTGCGCTCCGCTCTCCCGACTAGATCGCTGAATGGCCTGTGGCGCGTGTCACAGCCGATCAAGACACACTAGAGTTTGGTTTTTTCAAAATGAGTGCTTTCTTAATAAGCTAGAACTAACTCTTCATTGATTACCTCTGAAAAGCCTATCTTCTCTGGCCCTATTCAGTTTCCCTTGTTAAATTATTCTGTTAGTGTCGTAAGTGCCTTGTGATCGGTGAGACTGATGTTGGCCTTGGGGAGCAGAACGGGCTTGACAACCAACAACCCCACCCTGGCCCCTGCTTAGGGCCTTTTGAAGGTCTCAAACACCCCCACAAACAGCACATTAAGACCCCCCCACCGTGAGACCACTAAGAGTGGACACTTGGATGGTTCTTGCTATTTTGAGAATGGCTGTTCAGATACTCCTGTAGTTAATTGATTTTCCTCATCTGTTTTAATGCGTTTTACAGTTTACTACATTCTCTTCCAAAGAGCAAAGTGAAAATCTTTTCACAGGGTATTCACTCTTATCCACGTTTTCTGTTTGTGTAAGAACCTGAAAAGTGGATGAGAATGTTGGACAGGTGCATACGATGATCAGAATTTGAATTTAGAAAGTGTAGATCTTTTAGGTCGAGATTCATCCTTTTCCCTCCCCCCTTCTTTCCAATAGGCCTTATTCCCCTGCTGGGGATCGATGTGTGGGAACACGCGTACTACCTTCAGTATAAAAATGTCAGGCCTGACTACCTGAAAGCTATTTGGAATGTCATCAACTGGGAGAACGTGGCTGAGAGATACAAGGCCTGCAGCAAGTGAGCCGCGCCC